ACCTATTCTCTAGCAACCTCCACGGCTAATGCTGAACTGTATTGTTTTGATTGGCAGTCTCTGCTAGAAGCTACTGGAATCCTTCTAAGCCAATATCAGCCTCACCACCCCTGCCCTTAGCCTCTGCCAATGTCCACTTCTCTGCTGTGGTTTGTGAAGTGTCCTGGATTTTTGATATGGGATTGGATCTTAGTCCCCAGAATTCATGGTTTGCCTGTTCTTTTCTATAGGGTCCATACTATGTCTGACCCAATCTCATTCTCCTTTCCCCACGTGACCCCTGCCTGCTCTTGTTCTCATGTTCATGGAACATCAGCGGGTTGACTCTCCTTCCAGACCCTGTTGTGTCTGGTTTTACACAGCAGATAAAGCACATGACCCCTTTCCTTCCATTCTGTAAGTTCTGAATATAGGACCACTGTGAAATCTGTCAGGTAACATTCACAACAGACTATAGCTGACTTTGTTATTATTATTATTTTTTCAAATGTGAACATGAAACTTAGGAATAGGTGTTCTAGTAGAAGCTGTGATTGTCTGCTTAGATCCTACTTCATGAATGAAGAATAAATTCACCTACCATTGGGAGTTGCCTTTGTTAGAAGATAGCTGACTTTCGCAAGGCCACACCACCTCCCTGGGGCACCTATCATCCTGTCACAGCTTGATGTAATCATAGCAATCAGAAAGAAAAGAGTTTAAAGGCGCAGACCCTCTTGACAACTCTGAAGGGCCATTTCAGTCTAGCACTCTCCATGGCATCATCTAAAGCTTTGTGACAAGCCTACAGCCAGCTCTTCTGTTTGTGCATTTTTACCTCCTTCCCTTCCCTTGTGGAGGTTGATCCTGAGAACTTTCTTACTTCCAATACACAATTTTCCATATAGAGTTGGATTCCTGGACACCCTAATCTGCAGCTTTCTTGCTCAACTAACCAACTCTCTATTGACTCATCAACTCATCCTCCCTATGGTAGACAGAAAAATGTCCATCTCCACCTAAAGATGCCCATACCCGAGGCCCCTAGAATCTGTGAATGTGTTGTTTTCTAAGGTAAAAGAGATTAAGGTTACTGAGCTCAAGATAGGGAGATTGTCCTGGATTATTTAAGTGGACCCAATATAAACACATGATTCCTTAAAAGCAGAGGAACTTTCTTGGCTGTGGTCAAAGGTGTGACTTCAGAGAAAAGATCAGAGGATGCAACATTGCTGGCTTTGAAGATGGAGGAAGGGGAAACAAGCCAAAGATTACAGGGGGCTTCTAGGAGCTGGAAAGGGCAAGAAAATGGACTCTCTCAGAGTCTCCAGAAAAAGAGTACAACACCATCAACACTTTGGTTTTAGCCAGTGAGAGCCATGTAAGACTCCTGACCTACAGAGCTGCAAGATAGTAAGTTTATGTTGCTTTAAGCCACTAAAATTTTGGTAATTTGTTATAATAACAATATGAAACTAATATACCCCCAGCTGTCATCTTAATGCTTACTCATTTCTATGACCTTGGATATACCTGTGTAAGCCTTAGTTTTCTTATCTGTAAAGTGGTTATTTTTTATAATAAACTTGCAAAAGCCCTTCCAACTTGATGAAGTTCCCTACTTTGCAAGATTTATTAATCAGGCAGTGTTCACTTGTCTGTTTGATGATTATACTGAGACAAGTGCATGTGAGATGCTACAGGAAGCAACAGAATGACCATGCACCTGGGTCAGGAGTGGCATATTCTTTCTCTTTGTCTGGTTACTTCAGTCTGTCCATGCCAATTTCTAAATTTTCTATTCCCATAACTCCTCATGGCCATAGGAAAAACGCATGTCAGCTGCTAAACAATTTAGGAACCAAAGCCTGGGCACTACTGGATTTTGTCATTTTTACCTCTATTTGTTGAATTGAAGGTACATTTAAAACTTTTTAAATTTGTTAAATAATTTGTTAAGAGTTGTAGGTAGGAAGGTTAGAGGTGGGATCAAGCATAGCAGTATCTGGTTGCTGGTAAAAGTTAACTCAGCCTTCAGGGAAGTCCACCATTTTTAGAATTAAAAGAAAATGTCCTTAGCCTAATTTTTGTTAGGAGTAAGTATAATGAAATGCCACTGTAATTAAAATCCTTATAAACTGACTAGACATAGTTTTTGTGAAAAAAGAAAAAACAAAACTGGACACTAAAAAGGAATAAAAGTGGAGCCTTATCTGTCCCCTTCTGCCCCTAATGGGGAACCAATACAGTTGCCACTTCATTAACTACTCTGTGTTTAGAAAAGCTGAGCTGACCACAAAATAATAGTGGTAATAGCACTGTGATAATGATGACTCTCTACTATGTTTATCTAGCACATAATGTTTTTCTAAGCACCATCTATTTTCTTGTTTGTACCCAGGATGCCTGTAAGAAAGTGGGGGAGGTGACTGGGGTGTGCACCATCCACTTGATTTGACAGATGAGGCATCATGGCCTGTGGAATATAAAGCGCCCTGGTGTCAACACAATGATCAGCAGCAGGTGTGGGTCTGATGGCTGTTCTCTGCGAGAAGACCCAAGGCCATGGTAGTTCATTGCTACTGGCAGTTGGAATTGCCCAATGCCGAGTCAAACATGCTCTCCAAAGACCCTATACTGCCAACCCAAGGCTACTGGACACAGTTTTCCCCCCTCTCAATAGAAAGAATAAAGTCACTAAAGAATTAGTCATTAATGTTAGCTGGGGAAAGGCCAAAGAGTTGAATGGGGGACAAAGGAAAACCTAGGAAACCTAGAAGTGGATTCCAGTCTGTCACTATCTCAGTAAGGTTGGTGACCCTGACCATTGATGTCTCCACATGTGCCAGAGTGGAGAAAAAGTACCCTTTTCCCTCTTTCCTGTGTCCCCAAGAGACTCATATTTCTTGGAGTAATGTCCACGAGCCCTGTAGATTATGGCCTTGGTAAAATGATATCTCCAACACCATCACTACTTGCCCCTCATTCTACCCCTTTACTGAGGTACAATTTGACTGACTGGCCTTAAAGGAGGCAAGACAAGCTGAGGCCAGTGGTACACAAAGGCATCCCTAGTTCATCTGAACAATGAGGGGTGGAGTCTCAGTCTCCTCAGTGATTCTACTTCTTCCACGAGGCCCCATTTTACATTTGGTGTGGTAGTATCATGTTGACTTAAGAGACTTGGATTTAAGAGCCAAATGGCAACTCTGACTGGGCTATAATGTGATCTTGGTCAGTAACACTTAGTCTCCATGACCCAGGAGCTTTCTAAGACTATGATTTTTCCTGACAGAGCCCAAGATGTATTTTCCCCCACCACAGAGTGGAGTTTTGGAAAATTCCTGCCAGTTAACGACCAACCCAAGGCTTCTTTCATCAAGGTAGGGCCCATGTGACTAGTTCTCTCCATCAAAATGTGATGTGTGTCATCTGTAGGCCATGGTGAGAGGAAGTGGGCATGGCATCTTCACTTTCTCCTTCCTTGAAAACCAAGTGGATGCAGAACAACCTGCATAAAACTCAGAAGCCCTAGAAGATGGCGAAGCCACAAGGTAGGAGGCACCTGAATTGCTGAATTGCCCCTTAGACAAACACCCATTGGGGACTTACATGAGGGAAAAGCGACCTATTGTTAATGAAACTGGCAGTTAACAGTAGACATGTTTCGATATTAGATCATAGCTTCCAGAGATATAGGTGTAGGCTTTAACCAAATGTTTCAATTGCTTTGGTTGTCATGTACTTATAGTCAAAGATTAAGAAAGTATGTTAGTGATGATCTATAGGCCTGCCTGTAAAGCAAGTTCCAGAAAAAATGTTTAATAGTGCAGTTTGCTTAATATAAAAGAAAAATGTAGCTGGTTAAGCACAAAACAAGGATAGCTTAAACAATAAAAAAGGTCACTAGATGTTTAGTTTCTGCCTTTTGCTTTAAAGAGAATATCACTGACATACAATTATGAGAGATTTTGCAGAATCTTGGTCCCTCAACCTGGTTAGATCAGCTGACCACAGTGACAAAGGCATCAGATAAGGTGACATCAGAAACTGAATTAGTCAGACCAGAGAAAACCACTGAAGCTTACACAAGAACTCTCAATCAGCTTTACCCTTGACCCCTAACTCCTAACCCTCAATCTCTGCTTTTAAATACCCTCGATTCAAAATTACTGAGGAGTTCAGATTTTGATCATTAGCTTGCCATCCTTCTGGCCTTGGTGTTGCCAATAAATTTCTTTAATTTCTCCTCTGCAATACTCAGTGTTCAGTGTTTGGCACCACCAAGATTTGAGTTTTCTCTCTCACACCAGCTGTTGTATTATAGATCCCAATGGAAAAGGATCCACCAGTATTTCAGGCCTGGTTCTAATCCCTTAACATCTTGGAAACCATTGCCTTCCCCATGAATGCCAGCTCACCCATCCTAAGCAGCTTTCATTGTATTCAGTACAGGCATAGATCAGCTGTATAAGTGTCAAAACAATACAAAATCTATGCTTGGTAAAACAGTATTTTTTTTTATCAGTAAGCAATATGAAGATGACATTTACATGGCTAGACAAGTTATTCCAGCCCTGAACCAGTGGCATCCCAACACAAGCCCTCCTGGTGGCATTATATAAGAAAATTAATGAACTGTGGGGATTATAAATGAATTTATCTTCTCACTCACCCATCCCCTCTTTTTCAAATTTACAAATATGTTCAGCAGTGCCAGATCTTTTCACCCACCTTTGACATGTAAATAGAAACCACGCTTTTGGATTTTTGCAGAGAAGGTGGCCACGTGGTCATGCTAGCTTGTGGTCTGGGAGCAACCAGCACTGAGCTGGGAAGACACTGGCTCAAGGGGAAGAATTGTCTTAGGGGACCTATTTCTCTCAGGTGAATCATAGTTTCCATGTGGTTCTGGAGACTTCAGAAGAAAAAATAATTTTAGTTTTCCATGGTAGCCTATTTGGTGATAACAGTTGTTTTAGAAGACACCAACACAGCAACAAGTTCTAGAACGTACTCACAATGTCCTTGGTCACGGTGGGATGGATGGACTCTTGAAAGGGTCTTGTGAACTTCTGTTTAGTCGACTTCAAGTAGTAAGTGAGAAATAGTGCTGTGAAGATAGACAGTGGAGGTCAGAAACGAGAAATCTAGAGGATTTAAAATGCTTTGTTTTTTCACTTAATTACCCCTTTCAAAATTGTAAATAATACATGCTCATTTTAGAAAAAAACAGAAGATACAGTTTAGACAAGAGCACATAAAACATATCTGTCATCCCATCATCCAGATATAGCCCTATTAACCCATGGAACCCTTCCAGATTATTTCATAAAGATTTATGTATGTATGAATATATGTTTTCTTACTATTTTTAAATAGTTTACAGAACTGGGATCATACTGCATGTGTTGTTTTGTGACCTGCTTTTCTTTCATTGAATAAAATGTTATGAATATCTTTTGTCAATAAGTAAACTTCGACTGTGTGGTAGATGACCTCAAAGATCTCGAAGATCCCTGCCTGCTCACATCCACTCACTGTTTAACCCACTCCCCTGGAATGTGGGCTGGACCTCTGCCTTAATTCCAACCAACAGGATATGGCAAGAAGGATGAGATGTCAGTTCTCAGACTGGGTTTCAAAATGTCTCTGGCTGCTGCCTTGCCCACCTTCTCCTTGCCTCTGGCTTGCTTTCTGTGACAAAGCCAACTGCTTGGTTATGAGCTTCCCTACAGAAAAATAAGGGAGTGAGTGAAATGGAGGCATGGAACTGAAGAAGACCTCCAACCAGCAGGCTAGAGGAAGAGAATCCTATCAACAATCCCTTGACTGGGTCTGAAACTGGATGCTCTTCAAGTTAAAGCCTAGAGATGATTCAAACACCTTGATTTCAGCTTGTGAGAGGCCCAGAGTCAGAGGACCCAGCTCAGCCCTGCCCATAGATCCACAGAAACTGTGTGATAATATATGTTTGTTGTTTGAAGCTGCCAAGTTTTGGAGTAATGTAGCCATAGATAACTAATACAAACCATGCGGTTTTTAATAGCTGTTTGTTATTCCAGTGTAACGGTGTACCATAATTTACTCAATCTTTTATTGTCGCTCATTCTGGTATTCTATTTATTTTATTTCTTATAAACAGGACTGCCATGAATGTCGCTGTTAGCTAAATCTTGGTACACATTCTTCATTCTTTCCTAAGGATAAATCCTTGAAGTGGAATAGCTGAACTTCAAAGGGTTTGTGCCTTTTAAAGCTTTTGAGATGCTATTTCCCAGTTGTTTTCTAGGAGGACTGTACCCATTTACACCCCTGCTGGCTGTAGTTTCCAGTGGCTGCCTGCCCACACCAAAGGGTTTGTGTTTCTGAAGCATATTTTTGGTTAATTTCCACCACTGTGTCTTGAGCTCTGTCTCCATGCAAACCAGTTAGAAACAAAACCAAATACAAATACAAAAACCCAAGAATGAAGACTAAGGTTGAATCTTCAAAAGTACTAGATAATTTGAAGCTGAACAGTTTATTCAAAGTACTATTGTTTTGAAACCAGTTAGATGGCTTCAACCGCCCGCCAGTTGTAATCGTTATCTTTCAGTGGGCAGTGGACTTCTAAAAATGTGATGACACTCATATCCCCAAAGACTTAGCAGGAAAACAACACTGGCTAAAGTCAACATAAGAAAGGGATTTTAAAAAAAATCTTAGCTTATTTCAGTCATGCAAGGGCTTGTCAATAAATTCAACTTTTCAAATTGCCAAGCTGGATGGACTGAATTCAATAGCTATATTTTTGGGGAAGCATTTCACATCCACAGATACTACCACCATTGCTAAGCTGCAGCTTCACTGTTGGGGAAGAATAAATATTTTAATGAATGCTATATATTTTAACAGGCTCTGAAGCCTGCAGTTGGTTTAAGCTAAGGGTGCAATTTCAGGCATCTAAATAAGTAAATAAATGAGGAAGAAAATCCATGTTAATTGCAGTAATTTGCAGTACTTTCAGATTCTTAATTAAGAAATAAAATAGGATTCATTACCCATGCCCACTGTAGATGGCATACATAGATCACCATTATGATGAGACACAAGACCTGAAGTTATTACCATAAATGCAATGACAGAGAGAAATCACTGGCCAAAATGTGCTGGAGCAAAGAGAGAGGAAAGAAGGACATGCAAAATGCCTGTTCTCCAAAAGAGAGAGGACAGACTTTGGGATTGTATTAGCCCAAAATATCTCACCAGAGCCTGGAGTCCTGCCCCTCCCCTCTAATCTTTGGGATAGATTTTCCTCTCAAGCCTCATGCAAAACTTCTCTGAGCCTGTCTGGCCACCTTGGTAATGTCAACTCTTCCTTGATCCCCTGTCCCAGCTCATTGGTGTGCCTGGAATTTGGGTCCCTGCCTGCCTCATTCTCTCGGTGAGGGCTAATCTTCTTCTGCAAAGGTAGAAAGAGGAGAAGAACTTTTCTTGAAACCAGAGGCATTCTGGCTCATGCTGCCTTTTGAAAATTAAGCATTAAATTAAATTAAGAAGAGCGTATAATTTATAATACCGAAAGCACTTTTAACAGGAACAAATGCTTAACTGGACAGGATACCAGACTTAAACTGGGACTATTCTGGACAGACCAGGATGCTTGGTGCCCCCAGTGAAAACCCACCTTGGGCTACGGTGGGATGGACATGGGTTTTCGGGCAGGTGAGAGGGAGTTCACTTTGCTACTGTGGGCTGCAGGGATGATACCAATGGATGTCTGGGTGAAAGAGCATTGATACTCCTGGCTGTGGGCGGAGATGGCTGGTGACCATGCTTTTGTTAGGAATACAAATATGGACTGTAGTGTCCCTCTCTCTGGCCCTCTCTTACTGTCCTGCCATCTTAGTCTTGCCAGCCAGCACTGGACACTACATGGGCAGTTGACATGTATGTGGACTCCATGTCTGTTGACATGGGCAGCACAGCAGTGAGAAAAGGTACAGAGCGTGAGTAAGATGGAGGAGTCTGAGAGACTCAGGATAAAGGGAAACAATGAAGAAAATCATCCACTGAAGATCTCTAAAAGGAATGAGGAACACTGTCTGGGATTAGACATTAAAGTGTTTTGAGTGAGTAGGACAGTTTTGATTTTAACCCAAGGAAAATCAGACATTAACACAATACTTTTCCAGGCACCTATTATGTTCCATATAGAAGGCAAAAGAATGGTCTGTGACATACTGCTTGTTCTCAAGGGACTTAGGAGTCCTTGAGTCAAAGGCTCTGAAAGGGAACCAGAGAGAAACCTGGACTCCACAGCTATTCTGACTAAGTGAAGCTGATCTTTCCTTGGCTCACACCCATGCTGAAGACCCCCATGGAATCTGCAAGGGCTGAAATGCATGTCTGCATCTTGTGGTGTTTCACTTCTCTAAGGAGCCTTCCTCCTGGCTGCATCTGGATGGGGTCCCGACTGTTGTGGGACCCACGGGCCTGTTGCTGAGGGAAACACGAACAATTATCAGTACATTCCTTACCAATACAGGGTGCGGGAAGGAGTCATTTTCTGCCTTTATCTTTCTGACGATTCATGCATGGTAAAGAAGACACAGAGCTTTTCCAATTTCAGAAGTAAGCCAAGGAGAAACAAATTCAAAATGCATCCATAAAAACTAAAGCTAGAAACCAGACTACAGAGGAAAAAAATGATATAAAGTGTTCTTATAGAAGTCACTTTTCACGTGTGCTAGGTGCTCTGACTTGTCTCACTTAGTGAGTGGCAGCAGGATTCTAAGAAAATGTAATGAAAGATGGAAGACAGGTGAGCAGGAGATCCCTGAACCATGAGAAACACTCTGGGAAATGTGCCTGGCTATGCTGTTGCAAGGAGAAATCAGGAGAATTAGTCGCTGAAGCTATTTTGAAAAGAGGCCTTAAATGCAGCTCTGTCTCAGCTATTACATTTGAGAATTTTTCATTCTTTAATTTATTATTTCCATTTAACAAGTATTTATTGAATGCCTGCTTTTCTCTAGATAAAGTATTAGGCGCTGGAGATTCAGAGGAAGGGGGACAGGGTTTTATAGCCTTTTTAAGGGACTTCTGCTTTTAAGGTGGCAGTGTGAAGAGAGCCCTGTCCACTTCTTTCTGAACTCATTCCAAAACGACAAGGAAAATGAGCAGCAGAAATGCAAATTTCACCTTTGTGGAGGAAGGGCTTCTAAATGAAATGAAATTTTACCCAGCGGCAGGTAGATGTTGAGCGATATCTGCTTCTGACGGCCTCAGAGAAGGCTGACAAAGAGTTTATCAAAGAGGGCAGAACCGACCCCATCTTTGGAGGAACAACTGGTCTATGGAGAATGGACTGCCTGAGGGAGCATCCCTAGACCCTGGTAGGATCCATCTAGAAGCAGAGAAGGCAGTATATATAAGAAAATACCTCAGCAAGCCGTCTCTGCAGGAAGCAGTCTATTAGAGAGGCAGATTGTGAAGACAGGTTCAGTACTAATCAGTCTTACAACTGCCAATCTCTTGTTTCTTCTGGGAAGAAGGCTAAATCAACGTGTACACATACACATGTGTGTCATACAGGGCATCCTGCACATGAAAGAGACCTTCTGCTGAATGGTGTCATGGCTCATGGCTGGGCCCCAGCCTCATGAATGTTCTGCAGAATAGCTGGTTAAGAACAAGCTTGTCTCTGTCAAATGTGAGTCAGAATTACACAGCATCTATTAGAAGAGCTCTACAAAGATACTGCAAGAAAAGAAGGTAAAGATTAGAGAAAACAAATAGACAAAGAACACATAACCAGATTGTGTTGCCATAGAGCCAAAGGAAACTGCCAAGCAAATTAGCGTAGACAAACAACAACAACAAAACCCTTAATGAAAAAGATCACTTATATAAAATAAGAGCTCAAGGAAGAAATGTCAAGACAACTGAAAAAGACAAACAACGAGCTACGGGAGCTCAGGAAAGAAGATGGGGGACATAATGTCATCATAGAAATTAGGAGCCATCAGAGGCAAAAATAGTTAGGCAAACACTGCTCAAAACAAGTGGGTTTAGGAGCAGGACTGGTAAAGTGAGCCAAACAAAATGGAAACAAACAGTTTAAAGGCT